CCATTGTGAGAGAGACAATGGCCAGAATGAGAGATAAGCATCTACTACCCCCTGCCTACCAGAACCTGTCCCAGGCCCGTCCCCTCCTGGTGACCTGCCTTCAGTTCAATGCTTTAGTTTCCAGTATAGACACATTGCTTCATAAATACTATCCATATGTACATTTAGCAATGATTGTGATGATCGGTGAGCTCTTGGCATAGACCTCACATGCCACCCTTTGGTGAATTATTGTACATGTACTTGACTCAGCGGATCCATGAAAAGCTCTGTGCCTCTGCCAGTTAGCACAAGAAGTTCCTGAATCACAGAGGCTCTTTCTGAGAAGTGTATATCTTGTTCCACCTCCCCGCACCACGCTTCCTGGGTGCATCTTGTGATAGCGCTGCTGTTGAATTAACTCAATATATGCAGGAAGCAGACAATGACCAGGTTAATATTATTCACAGGTTATTACGAGTAGCTCCAAATCTGTTGCTGTGTGGCATTTTGGGGCAAGTGTCAACAGGCATGTTGAGAGTCGGTTCCTCACTAAGACTCTGCTTCAGAAGCAGTTTTGATCTCCACATAAAAGCAGTGGAGGAAGGCTGTGGGGTGGGGGACACTCTAAATCTCTGGGGAGCTGGATATTCTTTGTCTCCTGAGATGTTCTGTTTTAGCACCTGTGTTGACTGCGCCATACTTTGGCCTCTTCTCAAATTTTGCAGTCACTGAGAGTTTCCTTAGTAATTAGAGCAGGGACTTGGCGGTGTTGGGACACCAGCATTCAACTGAAGCCTCGCTGAGTTGCTCTAGGCCAGTGGTTCCCAAACTTTAACAACCTGTGAACCCCTTTCACTAAAATGTCAAGTCTGGTGAACCCCCTCCTAAAAATGAATATTTCCAGGGATTTTCTCCTTTACCTGAGTATAAATGATAAAAGCAGTGATCTTGAAAATGTAAAATTTGTTTTTATGACATGCTTATTGCACACTATTATTATTATTTATCACTACAGTATTTTTATTACATTACAAAAACAGCAACACTCTTCCAAGATCTTTCGTAGCTTGTATCACTTGGAATAAGCCTGTTATAAGACAAGGCTCCTCTGTTTCATCAAGGAGTGTCAGATGTGAAACAGCAGGAAGGTATTTAAGAAGCCAACTCAGAGAGTTCCTCCCAGACAAGCATTCAGGTCTTGAGCAGTCCAGGCAAACAACGCACGTTACAACAAAGCTTAAACTTGTTCTTCATCATCATTTTACAAACGATACTAGCTGCCTATTTAACTTTTAAAACAGCAAAAAATGTCCACCTCCCTTTCCATTTCTTATAAGGCATCTTGAAGTTTAAATCTCCTCAGTGTGATAGATATGGTTGCTTTGATCTGTTTAGCTCTTGGAAGTCCAGGGGCTCTGGGCTGCTGGCCCTGTGCTGCCCGGGGTCCCTAGAGACAGTTCTGTCTGCCATTAGGGAATTTTTCCCCAAGAGCCCCCTGTAACTTTTCGCAAACCACTACTCTAGGCAAGCCACAAGCTGTCTGCCTTGCTTACCACCTGTAATGGGGTATCTACCTTACCCAGGTGTTAAGTGCCACTAATGTGCCCTGAGATCCTCCAGGGAAAGCTGTTCCGTCACTGATGGTTCTGTTCTTGCTGAACTGCTGGTGGATAGTTTCAAGACAGGTAATTGGTCGGTCTGGTTGGAGGGCCAATGAAGCTTGATATTCACTTCATCCTCCTTCACCGCCTCCCTACCCGTGCCCTTCTCAGAGCTTTACTGTAAATATAACGGTGGTTTCAATAAACACAGACTTGGCTGTGTTCCACATACCCTCCAAGCTGGGCCACTAAATTCTGTTGTACCCAGCAGTGTGGCTATTGGCATGTAATAGAAAGGGAGTGGAGGATATTGGAAGGGGAGGGGAGGTTGAGCTCGGAGTGACACTGGAAATTGATGTTTCTCCTTTAGCAGAGGTCTGACTGCACATGAGGAATCTAATTCCAGGGATGGGCTTGCTTCAGCTCTTCAGAGATGTCTGGCAGATGGATCTCTTCTGGGCCACTAGATGTTGTGGGGCCATTCAGATTTTTGCCTGGTTATAACCACTTTTGGGGGAAGGAGGCAATGGAGAAGGCTGGAAGTGTCACGAGGTACTTATGTAGCACCATCGCTGTAGTGTCTGAGCACCTCCCAAGTATTGAAAAGAGAAATAATTTTAACCTCTTGCTTCCTGGCAGATGGAGAAATAGCGTGACTAGGCAGTAGAGTACCTTGTTGTTTGTGTGTAAAGAGCTTGCTGAGGGAAAGCCAAATCAGGGGAATTTAGTTTTTCAGTTCATTCTGAAAGGGGTGGTGAGCCCTGTGGCTCTCCTGTGAGGGGGAGAGCTGTGGCCTAGGTCAGTTCTGTCGCCTTCCCCATTGTTCATCAGTAGTTCCACAGTTCTGGTGGAAGGTAGCTATTGCAGGAGGTCATGGCCATGGAGGGGGTGACGTGCTCACTCCCAGGGAGCAAGGGCTGATTTCATGGAAGGCTTTAGAGATGAGGCTAAAGACCTGGAGCTGGACTCTGGCCCTGGTGATGTTTGTGGTGACCTGTATGCTGAGCAGATGGGCTGCTGCTCTGTGTCCTATTACCAGCAGGCAGTTTCTGAGGGTGTGGTTTCCATAAACTCTGTGAGTGAGCTCACAAACTGCTTCCCTTTTTTGTGTCCTAGGAGTTTCTCAGGGTGTGGTTTCTATATGTGAGTTAGTCATCAAATCTGGCTGTTCCACGGGTGGCTCTCTCTAGCCAGGTCTGCTTGATGGGATGGGAGGCAAGCGCCTGGCTAGATGGGATGAAGTGGGAGTCTTGCTCTCCTGGCTATTTGGGCATCCTCAGATAGCAATGAGGCCACGCTGTGGGCTGAATTATCCCGTGCATCTGCCCGTAGATTGGACGTTGTTAGAGATGAGCTGAGAATGTCTTGACAGCTAGACGTAGAGCCAGAGAATCCATCTGCCCTGTCAGGCATTGAGCCAGAGGCGCTTGTTGTTTTAGATACTAAAACCTCATTCTCCCGGGAAACTAAATCTGCTTTCTGGTGAAGTCGCACCTGATTGACTCGGGGGCCCCATGAGGAGGGAAATGGGCTCCAGCGCTCACGCAGGAATCGCGGCAAGCTTGTGATGCCAGCTGCTCTGTGCTCGCTGCCAGTGCAGGTGCAGAAGCTGCTGTGTGCCTCTCTGTGAAGGGAAGGTTTCTGAGTAATGCCTCTTAATGTCACGGTGCAGCCTTGGGGTTTCAGCCCTTCGGAGGTATCCCAGTGTGAGGGGCAGAGCGGAAGGCAGGCTCTGCTTCTCTCAATGCCAGATGCTTAAATCCGAGAAGGGCCAAGAACTGATCCAAGAGGGTCTGAGTTGCTGGGGTGGTGAGAAGTGGCCCTGCAGACACGGCTCCCTTGTTATCTGGTTTGATGGTGGAGGAAAGGCGCAGGGCAATGGGCCGTTTAAGGTGGGAATCAGTAGAAAGGGCACCTGAGAGTCGCTGATGTGCCTCTCTGGGGGAGAGGCTGTCCAGGGAGATGAGTCCACAACTTGTATCTGTGTGTAGTCTGACACAGCACAGTCTGTTCCCCTTTAAGGCTCATTCTGATACCCTGCAACACCTCCCGAGTCCCGGAAAGAAATCCGCTAAAGAGGGATTGTGCTTATATGAAAGGGGGGGGCTGTGAACAGGGAGGGTCTGTCGCCTAAGCACAGGCATTGGAAGGGGCTCCTGGATACAGAACGCTTTGATGTAGTCTCTGGCTTGACCTTGCTGTATACTTGCCTTTCTTGCCATTTGAACAGCAGCGTAGAGCTGGGGCCTGAGTACGTTTGGGCAGCACTGTGGCACTGTCCACGCCTGCTGGGAGTGCTTCAATCCCTCTCTAAAGAAATCCCCATGCTCTGTAATCGGTTTGGCTTCAGTAGGCTGCATTTCAAGGCCGGGTGGGCGGGTCGGTTCCTCCACCCTCCTGTGGCAATTATTTCTAAAGCAACCCTGAGTCCTGCAACTGAAAGTAAACAGCTGGGTAATGAAACGTCAGCACTCTCCGCCATCTGTGGGACAGGCCAAGGACGGGAGGGTGCCCTCCCTGGGAGAAGAAAGGGTGTTGATATAATACACCCTGCACTTCGTATCGTCAAAGCCCTTTATGAAGACTAATACAAATTAGTACTCCACTCCTCTGTGACGCAGCTAACTCCTGGGTCCGTTTTACAGACTAGGGATATGTTTAGACTGCAAGAGAAGCCCAGGTGTAGTAGAACTCAAGTTAGCAGACCCTGGGTTTTTTAACCTAGGACTTGATCATCTACATACATTTGTAACACCAGGTTAGGAGTTGTTGAATGCTGGGCCCTAGCCTGGGGCTCCAGCATCTGCACTGTATGGCCCCGAGTCCAACCACCCGTATCCCAGACTTCCTAGCACCCTCCTAAAATGTGGCTGCTTTAGCCCCTAGTTTGTGGTGCAGTGTGGGAAAACTTGACTGTCCGGGGGACAAAAAAAGTCAGCCTGTGGGATTATGGAATGCTTTTGGTGGACTCCCAGAGCACGAGTCAGTGGGGCTGTGTCTACATTGCAAAGAATTAGGGCTTGAACCCTGGGTCCCGCTTTGACTCCAGCTCAGACCCTCCAACCCTGTGGGGTCCTATAACCTTGGGTCCAAGTCCCTGAGTTAGGGTAATATGTGTGTAGACAGAAGAGGGATTAGGCTTGAGCCCGAGTTTGAACCCTGGGCTTACATTGCAGTGTAGACGTACTGTAGGAGATGGAGACACACAGGCTGACTTTCCAGTGCTATGTACCTAGTTGATGGCAGGCAGGGCTAAGACTGGAATGCAAAGCTGTTGGCTCCCTTTCCTGTGAGACCACATTGCTTCCGGATGGATGCTGAATCAGGCCTGGGCTGAGGCTCTGATCTTGGGCTGGTGGCAGGAGGCAGGGTAAGTGACTACTAACTACCGCTTTCATGTGTGTTCCTTCCCGGCAGAAAGAGCTGCGGCCTCGTCTCTGTCCGATGAAGAAGGGCCCTAACGGCTATGGATTCAACCTCCACAGTGACAAAACCAAGCCGGGGCAATACATCCGGGCTGTGGATCCAGACTCGCCGGCTGAATTGTCAGGGCTACATCCCCAAGACCGCATCATTGAGGTACGTTCAGGAGGCGTGGGCAGTGCAGTGAGGGAAGGAGGAGAGAATGAGTGGTGAAGCATGGGGGAACGGCTGACAAGGTCGCAGAGGGCAGTGCGTGGTAGGGGCCTCCATAGGATGCCAGGGGGATGGAGATCGGCAACATCATGAAGATGCTGCATTCCACATCTTGCACCCACGAGCACAGTCATCTGAACTAGGGAGGTGGTAGAATCTCCTTCCTTAGAGGTTTTTAAGGTCAGGCTTGACAAAGCCCTGGCTGGGATGTACGATCCCACGAGCACAGCCCCCCCCCCCCCTTCATCTGAACTGGGCCCAGACTGCTCCTCTGGGGTTAGTAATGTGGGTAGTTTGTTCCTTTCCCGTGTAAACTAAGGAAAACTCGAGTCTTGCAGTCCATTCACTTGGCGCCTGTTTTTATTCATCAAGAAATGAGTAGTTAGAATCCACCTCTGCAGTGTGGCTTTGTCTATGACTTGAGTCCCGATGCTGGCCCAGTCATCCTATAGTCACAACCAAAGTCTCTGGACGGACACACCCACCCACCTCTCCTCCCATGGTGCTGTCTGGGGCCAGGACATTACAGGAATCCCTTCACTGCTGGCAGTAGGAGGATGAATCTGCAGTGGATCCTGTCTGTGACTGACAGCTCTGCTTTCTAGGGCATGGTATGCTGAGCATGTTCAGGCCTGATATGTATGCCGGGAGATGGCAGAGGCGCTTTCCTGGCCGTGTAGGAGCCCGTGTGGCAGCTGTCCCCCAGCCTGTGTGTACACAATGCCTCATGCTCTTGCCACAGGTCTGTTGCCCACCTGTGTGCATACGCTGCCCTGCGCTCCTGGCAGCTTTGCTGTGTAGTCCTGTGCTAATCACTTAAAGAAAATCTGATTTTAATGAGTTTTTGCTGGCTGCTCTGCTAATCCCCGAAAGGCTAGCTCTGGGGACCTGCAGGGGCTCGAGGGTGGCAGAGCTCTGGCTGCCATCACAACCAATTACAAGCCTTTCTTCAGGCTACCCCGCCTTCCTCGTTCTAGATGTGCCATTGGGAATGCCCTCCACAGAGCTTGCCAAAGACTTCCTGGCCCAGGTCTCTAAGCCACTTCACCTGTCTTCAGGCCATTCCCGGGTGCAAGTCTCCGCAGCACTGTTCTGACTCAGCCTGCTGGAATGGGACAGTCACCACCAAGTCACTCCAGCCTTCCCACCTCCCACTGCCAGCCACTCGCTCAGAGCATAGGTTAAATGTTCATGGTGGGACATGCTGCCCTTGAGTCAGCTGTGAGGCTGTCTCAGTTCGTTCTGTTAAAAAGCCATTGTCTCCAGCTGGTCAAATCCTTTCCTATCCTAGCAACCCAAGTGCCTCGTGCTCCCTGTGCAGGGAGGGGCTGTGAGATGGTGAGTTAGGGGTTAGCCTTCCTCCCCACAGTCAAATGTGCACAGCTGTAGAGTAGTGGGGTGCGGGGGGGAGAAGTGTGGATTTCATGGGAAGCAGCATACGGGCTGAGCCACTGGTCTGAAGTTCCCGAATACGGCCTAAGGCTAATAGGAAGGGACTAAATGAACAGGTTTTTGGGGTATGCTAGTGACCACTACCTCTTGGTCCAGAGACTCCTCTTTCCTTCCTTGGGTTTCCATCTCAGTCTAAAAGCACTGTAGTGTCTCCCTAATCTTCTATGATTCATGACTGGGGCCTGGTCTACACTAGAAACTTTTGCTGGTATAACAGGGTTGGTTAGAGGTGTGATTTATGTATGTGACATTTCCATACCAGCAAAAGCCCTAGTGTGGATGCAGCTATCCTGGTATCAAGTGCTTTTGCTGGGATAGGTTATTTTGCTCACCAAACTGGTACAAAGCTACAGTGGCAAAAAAGCACCCTCTGGCTGCTATCAGCTATGCCTACACCAGGAGGGTTTGATGGGGTAATGGTGGCAAACCTTTTCTAGTGTGGACATAGCCTCGGTTGCCTTTCTGCTGCAGGCATGTCTCCCTGTCCATAAGTTATAATACAGAGGAATGGGACTTGTGAAAAGCCTCTGTACTCTGAGAGCCTGGCCGCTCGCTTCTGCCGTCAGCTGCAGATCTGCTCAGCTGCAGCCACAGCACAGCTGTGTAGGAAGGAGCACAGGTCAGTTGAGTTAATGTAGTCAATGTCCTATTCAGAAATGAGGCATGCAGCTCAGAGCTGGTAATGCTGAGGAGCGGTCCAGTGAGTGGTTAGGTCAGGCTGAGAGAGAGACTTGTGCAAAACAGGAAACATTGTAAATGTGACTAACTTGCAAGACTACAGAGCCCCAAGAGTGTCCAAACCCCAGATCTGACCTCTGTGGCATGGCTAGCTCTTCTTCCAGACCCACTCTTCCTGGGCAGGCTTTGCCAAAGGGCTCGCTGGAACCCATTCCTCCTCTATCGTGGCTACTTGTAAATTGGGCTGAATGCTCAGGGCTTCCCCACTTCCCATAGAGCCAGAATATTTTTGTGGTGACTTGTCTGAGGGCAGCCTGGATCCCAAGCTTGGCAGTCAGATAAGAGAACTGGTCACAGGGTCTTTCTGAAGTGCAGGATTTGGGTGGAACAGGCCAATGGAAGCTGAGAGAGGAATATCACAATGTAGATCAAGCATCCGTTCCTCTTGTAACATGGTGACTGTTGCCTGTCCAGGCTACGGGTCTGGCTGTTCTGAGCTGCCAGACAACAAGAGTCTGACATAGGCAAGAGTGAATGTGTCTCTTGCTTGGTGGCGGGGGACACCTCACGATGTACAAACCTGCAGTAGCCTGCCTGTTCCTATGCCAGCTGGGCAGCAGCTGAATGGGATAATAGTCAGCATGTGATTGGTATCGGCATATGTCTAACCTGCAGCCAGCCTTGTAACAGTACAAATCTTCTTCTTTCGTGGTCTTTCCTCTAACTCGGCCCATTTCCCTTCTGGCAGGTGAACGGACAGTGCATGGAAGGGAAGCAGCACTCTGACGTGGTGACGGCCATCAAAGCCGGGGGAGATGAGACCAAGCTGCTGGTGGTGGATAGTTTAACAGATGAGTTCTTCAAGAAGTGCAAAGTTGTTCCCTCGGAGGAGCACTTGACAGGTGACCGGGTAGCAGCTGTGGTGCTGGGGAGGGCTGGGTTTTACCTAGACAAGGCCGCGAGGTTCTCTGCAAACGGATGGCTTAAGGGGGGAGATGAAGGCTGGGAACAGAAGGTTTCCTGCTTATGAGTGGTTTCATTTCCTGTCCAAAACGAGAGAGGATAGAGATCTGTCCTGGTGAGAAGTGACCTCTGTAGCATCTCCACGCAGCCCTTAGTGCTGACTGCTTGTGTCCTCTCTTCCTAATCCACAGCACGTAATTAGTTTCCAAGGTGTGCTCTGGTTCACCAGCTCCTCTTGCTTGCCAGTTCCATGGGAAGCTGGGAAGAAAAGTCGCCAAGACTTAACCCTGAAGGAACATGACATAGCTTGCACCGGTGTCACGCAGCCAAATCAAAGACTTTCTGCCTGCAAAGCTGGAAGCTACCTTGCAAGCCAAAGGCCTTTCTGGTTTCCTTGGCATCTTACATGCCAGCAGGGAACAATCTGGCACTGTTGGCCTGGTTCCCTTGCACTCGGTCACCCCACGCCCTGACTGTGCAGGCGTCTGTCTGAGGTTATGGGAATTTTATAGCTGAAATGGTTAAACTTTGACAGGGTTTATGAGAGGAGGGGCCTGATTTTTTTTTTCTCCCCTCCCCTCGGATCAGAGTGCAGGCCATGTCAAGAGCAGGACTGGCCTCTCTAGCTCATGGTCCGTGCCCTCCCATTATCCCGGAGACAAGTGGAACAGACTCCTCTCTGAAGATTTACGTTGGACTTGGTGCTCCAGTAACTGTACCAAAAAAAGTAATTCTACCGCTGGGGAGGCTTAAGGGCCCAGCTGTCCCTGCCACAAGCCACCTCTTCTAGAACAGATGAGGGTCTTGGCTTGAACCCCTTGGCTGCATGAGAGCTAGGGAGTCTGCAAGAAGGGCCTCAGCATCTGGCAAAACTAATAGTCACCAAACAAAATAGCAGCCCAGTGTTAAGTGGGCCCTGGTGACTGGCCTAAAGAATCCTTGTTCCAATAGTTGGATTTCCTCTAGCAGCTCGGAACCCTAGGATGCTAAACGAGTGGAAGCTGGCCAGACTGAGAGGCAGGAGGGTTAACACTGCAGCACTTCCAATGGCCGGAGTAGGCCCAGGTTAGGCAATTCTGTTCCCCCCTCGGTCTGCCAGCAACTGGCAGCGGAGAGCTGGGTTTTGCTGGGTGCTAGCTGCTTGGTTAGGGGCAGAAAACTCTTGCTGAGGGTCTGAGCTCATGTTCTGGAGAACTAGATTCTTTTGGGGGTGTGGGGAGGGACTGCAGCAGAAAATCCAGCACTTCGCCACCAGACTCTGAAGATCTGGGTCCAGTGTGGCTCAAAAACCCCTAAGCAAACAAGCGATTCTGGGGGGGGTTGTTCAGCTTGAAATATGCCCCCCGATATATTTACTCTCCAAATCCAAACCCGGCCTCTGAGGCAGGATAAATCTTGCTTAGTAGCAGAGAAGAACTGCATGGCCAGTGGCGCTAGGGGGTCCACAACAGTGGAATCCGGTGCTTGGCTCTGAGGGAAAAGGTCAGTTTGCTGAGCAGATGTTGACATGAGTTTAATGAGCCAGCTGGAAATCTCAGGAGCTAGACACAGGTGTCTGCCATTTATACCTCTGAGCTTCCACCACCCCTGTGGGCTGAGCCTCTGCTGGCACGTGGGGGTCTCACTTCAAGCCCTTGCTCTGCTGGAGGGGAGGAAGTGAATGGCACCTCCTAGGTCACACTTGCTGTGACTCTTTTTATGTGCTTCCTCGGGGTGGGGGGGGAGGGAGAGCAGGAAGCTCTCTGGAATCTCTTAATTAATCCTGTTAACCTCCTTCTTCCCCACCAAAATAGCCTGGCCCTCCAGGTGGGTGCATACCGAGATGTTCTAAGTAGCCCCTCAGAATAGCATCGCCTGGGTTCAGCTTGGGTTCCGTGCCTTGCCTGGGGAGCCTTGAGATTCTTGATGGGGCTGATGTGAGGGAGGTTAGGGGAGTGGTGCTTTCTGTGGCATCGGATCTCTTTAAAGCTGGGGGGTGGGCTGGGCTAGGCTAGGTTGGCTTGAAGAAACTCCCCTCCTCCACTCTCTCTGCCTCCATCCTGGTGTCTGGCTGCAGGGGGTTATGTCCTATCTTCTCTTGCTCTAGGAGTTTCCCATGAGCTTTCCTGCCACTGAGTTCTTCATGCAATGACACTTTGACGGGGCCTGCTGTCCAGTGGCTTGAGCAGGGGCCAGGGCTACTGGGTTCTGTTCCTGGGTCTGCCACTATCTTGTTGCATGGCCTTGGGAAAGTCACTTTACCTCGGCACTGTAGCTTATCCACCAGCGAAGTGGGTCTCGTAAGTGTGTTACAAAGTGCTGAGATGGAAGATGCCTACGGGGCACACATCTGGGTCTACATCAGCAGCCACCTCCTTGGGTTCGTTGCACTGGTCGCTTGTCCCCAGTAACATAGACTCGAGACCTATCCCTGCAGTGGAGGCTCTGGCCATATGGGACTGCGAGGATGTGGTTTCCCTGTTGTCAGTGTGTCTGCAGCCTGTAGCTGAGCATTGGGCTCAGCCATTGTTTAGCGTGTGTTTGAGAAGATCGGTTTTAACCCCCTGCGCCTGCACTGGACTAGGCAGAAACAAGTCCTTGTCTTCACTGCACAAAAGGTGTTTGGGAGGGGAGGTCACAACAAGATCATTGACATGTGGTGACTATCCTGCTGCAAAATCCTAGTGGGGACAAGGCACCGGAGTCCTTGCCACGAGGTCGTGAGGTGAGGTCAACGCTCTGCCCCCTGCCAATAGTTCACCTCCCCTCACTGCATCGCAGTGAGAACTGCAGAACCTCGTCTCCACTAGGGTTTCCCGGCATTCATTATCCTGCGGTAAAAACACTCCTGTTTTTGGCAGGGAAGACGCAGCAGGTCCAGGGTGCAGTGGCAGATAGAGGGGCTGGATCTTCTCCATGGTAAACAGCAGCTTTGTCCATGGCTGGAGGAGTGGGGGGAGGGGATAAGCAGTCCCGTGGATGTTGGCTCTTTGGTTGCCTAGCAATCTAGCTTTGGGGGCTTTCTCACTGCTTTTCTCCCTGGGAAACTGAACTTCCCATAGTAAATGGGAGAGGAGACACCGCAGGAGGCATGAGCCAGCCTATTTACTCCAGGCAGAAAGAGCTGAGTGCCCAGGGCGCACAGGGAGGAATGAAAGGTCTGCCCTCCGCCCACGGGGGGTTCTACTTTAAGCAGTGGCTGGTGCTTTAAGATTCTGGGGTGTCTTCAGAGGTGCTTTTTTGTCTTGCGTCCTCCTGGTCTGTGGCAGTTCTGTTGAACCATTTCCAGCTTCACTTGAGAGGGGTGAATTTGCTCCCACCTGGTAGTGGCAAGTCTCGCTCAGTTTGAGAGCTGGGAACCTTCAGCTGGCATTAGTGGTGAATATGAGCTGGTTTTCCTCCATGCGCCCTGTCCCCCCCCCTCCCCCCCAGGGCTAACCTCCAATCACAACAGGAGTTGCTCTCTCAAGCCAGCAGTAAGGAAGTGAACGGCCATTGGATCTTTCTGGGTAACTGGGAGTGGCACGCTGGGCAGCTGCTGATCTGGCAGCTGCAGTGGCATTCCCTTTTGGATGCCCCTCCACCCCAAAGGGGTAATTTTATGGGGAGTTATGTGGGTCTGACGACTCTGCCTGTACAAAGGCAGTCTCCGTGCCAGCCAAACGAAAGCATTGTCTACAGGATGGGACAGCCTGCCTTCCCCCTAGCTCTGAGCCTTTGCGGTGCAGTGCCTAGGCAGAGCTGGGAGGCCACTGGATAAGCAGCCCCATGTCTACAATGATGCCAGGATCCCAGTGCATGGATGTAAGGCCGAGCAAAGGCAGTGGCTGCTGGTTAAGAGAGGATTTTGCAGGCTCTTTGTAACTACATGTCTGTGTCTTCTCCCCCAGGTCCCTTGCCAGAGCCAGTTGCCAACGGCGAAGTAGAGAAGGTAAAGATCTTGCCAAGTCTCAGCTTTTATAGATGGCATCTAAATGCCACGTTTGCTGCCTGCTGCAGTGACAGCACAGGATATGTGCCCCCCTCCTCCCCGTCGCTCTGCCCCACCCCGAAGCTGAGTGGCTCCTGGAGCCTGTCACATTCCCAGCTTGCGTTCCAGGGCAGTGCTGACCTTTGCAAAAGAAGGGAGAACTGACTCCTTCAGTGTCGGCCACCGAACACATTAAGACGGGCCCATCTCTGCCTAGCTCCACCCCTTCCCGGGGAAGAGAATGGCCCTTTCTTTAGGAAGGGGCTGGACTCCAAAGGCCTCGTTACTTCCAGTCTGGTTTGGAAAAACAAAACCTCATTAACCGTGGTGTAGAAAGGAAGGCATCCACTCGTTAGGGCTTGCCGGGAAATCTTAATATACATCAGGGAAAGGAGGGAGATGAGACGAGACAGGCTGCTGTTTCAGACTAGGGCAAAATGTCATGGGTGAGGAATAGGCAAATCTTGCCACTGGGATTGCTCCATCGGGCTTCCTGGTGGTGCCAGTGGGTGGAGACAGCCTGGATATTGGAGAGGGGCCAGGGATCAAGGACGGATTCCTCTACCTGGATCCTTATCCGAGTCTAGATGAGCTGTTTCATGTAGATGTAGAAGCTGGGGCAGAAAGAGACAGAACATAGGAGTCCCACGGCTGTTATGATGGGAACATCGGCACCGGTGCAGAGTTGTCTGGGAAGTAGCGGGACTGCAGCTTTTCTCCCTCCCCGCACCCCTCCCATGGCTGCATCTGTGGCTTGACAACCTTACTGGGCTTTCTTCTGGTGCACTCCCTGCCCTAAAGAACCTCCAAGTGTTCTCTGCACCCACACTCACCTGGACCTTGTTTGCCTGGGGCCTGGCCTACACACCGCGTTTGGACCTGTTTGTTTGTTAGGGCTGGGACTTTCCTACCGACGTAGTTACAGCGGCACGACTCTTAGTATGGACACAGTTAGACTAGGATAAAAGTGCAGAATGGGCAGGAACAAGCTAGAACTATGAAATCACAGTAGAAGTGTGTCCACACTGGGGCGCTATGCCCCTTGAACTACGCAGCTTTCAAGAAGGGTGTGTAGGAGTAGCTCTCCAGTGCAGAGAATGGATCTCGTACCCTTGGGGCACGAAGCAACAATGCTTAACCCTAGCCCTGGAGCTGCGATGTGACCAGTCCTTCTGGATGGCGGGGAAAGGGTCTCCACGTGCCCTTTCTCCCCCCCGGCCTATACCATGCTAAGGCCAGAGGCAGAGGCAGCTCAGCTGCTGTGTTCAATCCTGTCCAGCTCCAAACAGGAAGCACTGAAGCCTGTCCAGAAGATGCTTATTAATCTGCAGCCTGTGCTCGGAAGAAGGATTTCCCAGACCCCCCCCACTTACTGGTCCTGCTGAGGGAGGAGCTAATTGGAATCAACGGCACTCCGCTCTGCAGGGAGTCACACAGACCTTCTGGACATAAGAGATGTTTGCATCTCCCTCCCCAGGAAAGCGCTTGGTTCCCTGCAATCCATGGTGGGGCCCTGAGCCTTCCTGGAGAGGATCTCGCTTTTAGTGAGATTCCAGTCCAGGCGAGCGATGTTAAGGGGAGTTCTGGCGTTTGGGCTAATCCTGCCTTGGTGTTTCAATCTGCCTTACCTTCTGGCTCCTGCTAAATGGTGCTGAGCAGCTGTCAGCCCCTCTGGTCCCCTGAGGAATGGAAAGCTGAGGGGGGTGGAGTACAAGTTCTGGAAGTAGGGCTCCTCCGCCATAGAAATCTCTAGGGCTCTGACGTATCATTCAGGGCAAGTGCCTCAATCTCTTAGAGAAGCAGGAGAGCTGGCGGAATCTGCAGATGATATTTGGGGCTCCGCATTAAAAATTACCAACTAATCTGCCTCTACGCTGCCCAACACACCCACCCTTGGGTGCCCCCGGCTCCTGCAGATCCACCCAGGGCCCTGCCTGTGTAAAGCACCCCCAGCACAGCGTACCTCTGAATCTACTGGCCATTGACTGGTTCACAGAAGTTGTTCTCTTCCTGAATAAGGTAGATCACTAGATGTTTTTCGTGCACAGGCTGTTTCAAGAGGGTAGTATTTGGAACTGGCCCTGCCATCCGCTGGCAGGCATTACGAAACCTTCCTCTCAATGTGACTTCAGTGTGAGTTTCCCTCTCCTATAGGAGATCCACTGCACAGAGGAGAGAGGTGGTAGGAATGGCTGGGGAAAAGGTGGGAGTGTGCCAACTGCATGGCCTACCCCTCTGGCTGGCAGGGGGGACAGCTCAGGGTCTCACTTGGTTTTGTTTCTTTCAGGAGGACAGCAGAGAGCAGCGTCCAGAGTCTGTGTCTGAAAGTCCATTGAGCCCCGGGCCAATGGCTGTGTCCCCCTCTTTTAAAGAGATCCACAATGAGGTATGGCAGGGTGCCTGCTCGGCAGGGCTTTGGGTTGCACCTGGGGGGCGGCTGCCTGATTTGAAGCAGAAGCGAGGAGCGGGCTAGGATTTACCTCCTTGGCTGGCGGGGTGGGATGAAGTTGGGGAGCTGCTTCCTGGTGCGTGGGAAGAGACCTTTGCCTCGGAGACTCATCACTTCTCCTTGATGGAACAGCAGGAACCCTCTTATGTAGCAATGGGCTCATTCCCTTCTCTGACCAGGCCTGGCAAAGCATCACCTGTGACAGAGAACAGCCTTGCACAAAAAGCTCAGTCTCTTTTTAGGTTCTTAAATAAAAATGGCCTGATTTCCAAAGGGGCGGAGTGCGGGCCACTCCCCTTGAAAACAGGAGAGCGGCACGTATGCAGCACCTCTCTGGATCAGGCGGCTCCTCCTTAGACACCGGGGGCTATTCAGAAGGTAACTGTAGGCAATCCGGTGTGCCAATGGTGGCTTAATGAAATAGCCTGGCAAGGGGAGAAGACCCAGGATCGTGAGGGATAGAGGCAGACCATCTGCTCCAGTGTGTGAGATCACGGTGGGATGCTCAAATACTCACTGTGCCTGTCGGTCACCTTTGCAGTCTGACTCTCAAGAGAAGGAGGAGGAGCAGAACTCCACGCCTGATCCACTCCTGGACCTAAACGTTCCCCTATCTGTGGCCAAGGAACGCGCGCACCAGAAGCGCACCAGCAAGAGGGCGCCGCAGATGGACTGGAGCAAGAAAAATGAACTGTTCAGCAATCTCTGAAAGCCCCCCGGCAGAGGAGAGGAGAGGTAGCAACCTCTCCAGCGTCTGCCCCAAATCTCCACCAGCATCTCGCTTTCTCCCCAGTCTCCAGTTTCGCTAGGGAGCGGAGTCCTTTCCCCTACACTTGGATTGCACAGTTTGGTTTTGTCTACTGTAATCTAAAGGAAAAAAAGCACAATGGCTCCTTTTGCAAGTTTCCAGAGCAGTGTTAACATTCAGAGGATGACGAGATGTTTGTGTCTCAATAGCTTAGGGTTCATGTGTGGTAAGGGGTTGGACCATTCCACGGGCCCAAATCAAACCCCTATGTGTTTGCAGTGGGCATTGTGAAGCACCTTTCATTCTCACTGGCTTTTTACTGAAAGCTTAAATCCATGTAAATGCAGGGAAGACATTCAGCAATGACGTGGGATTTTGAGTGCCTGACTTGAGACCCCTTAAAGGGGCCTAATTCGATGGTCAGTTCTTAAAGCAGCTTGGATACATTTTCAGGTGTCTCCAGCTGAGCACCCAAAATCACTGGACATATCTGAATATCTCAGCCTTAGGCTTCAGTGTATTTTAAGCTCCAGTTTGGCCAAGAACCAAACAACATTCCTTCCAAGAGTTACTATTTGTTTAGGGTTTTTTGTTATTTTTTTACCTCTGACCTGGGGCTTCCGTCCACAGTGATCCACCCCGCATCAAATCCCCTGGTCTGAAGGTACCCAGTGGGCACTGCCGTTGAATCAGTTTAACCGAGCACTTGTGTGAATGCTGTGAAACCCGTGTCCTGAACACGCCTCACAGAACCATTTGTCCCAAGCCCACTGGAAGTGAACTTTCAAAGGATCTAGCTCCCTAGAGTAGCTGAGAAGGGCTTCCCTTGCCATGTTATACCCATGGGATTTGTTCCTGCAGAGGAGGGGTGTTTGGAGCAAAGCACAATGACCGATAACTGCAAGCGGGAATCTCCTTCGATGTCTGGTTACTCCTGGAGACCAAACCGATCAGGGTTTTGAATACTGAAATGTGTAACATAAAGGGTTTTAAATAGACTGTCTGTTTTCTGAAATGAGATGTTTCCAATCACGCTGATTTTTAAGGGGGGGAGGATTTATTCTTTGGCAGTTTTTCCCTGTGGATGTTTTGTTTTCCGTGTTTGCAGTTGAGGTATTATTGTACTGTCAAGCTCAAGAGAAATGCTCTTTACCGGGGGAAAAAAAAAACCCTCCTGACTTTGTGTGTTCATTGGATGGCTAAATCCTTCTAAAGCTGGCCGCCTGCGGGCTCTGAGCAATCTCCTGATTATGCACCTCGGCTGCACTATGGAGAGAGACCTGATCATGTAACTGCCCATGGCTCCTTGCTGCGAACGTGTTTCAGCACCTCCACCTAGCTGCCTTTGTCCTGGAACAATCCTCTCAACTGCCCTGACATGCTGCCCCACTGCGCTAGTGCATTGTGGGGGGAAAAGTCTGGGCAGCACCCCTGTGCTGGCTCAGCTTGTGGTGCAATGCATTTTGGGATAGCTGCCTGCCCGGAGGTGGGACTGGCTTACCCGGTTTGGCAGGCACAGGTGAGCAGGCCTCCTCTCTCGACAGAAGGGGCAGTGTTAAAACTCTGCCACAGCCCGGCCCCTGAATGTGTACCCACCCATGTTCAGTGGGAGCAGCGGTCAGCCGTGTACGAGCTCATAACACTATAGTGTAGATGGGACCCTGGGGCAGGGGGAATTGCACTTCAGGAAATGTCTGCTAGTGGGGTTTGTGTGGCTAAAGTACTGCCCTGTGCAGTAGTCCTGCTTGGGGTAGGGGTAAAGGCCAGCAGCCCTACCCTGCCCCTTATTTTCAGAGTAAGAATAATTGCCTCGGGTGTGGCTCTCTTTAAACACCTCCCTCCATTGGCGCATGGGAAATTCCAAGCCTGCTGAAACTGGTGGTTTAAAGGTTTCCGGTGCATTTGGATGGTGGCGCTTTGCAATGTAGTGATGCATTCTGGGCCAACTGGCCTGCTTCTGGAGCCCAGTGAAGGGCGGGGAGGGAGAAGAGAGGGATCATCTGTGGGTTAATGTCTCTGGATTATTAAAATGCTCTAATCCCTGCTGCTCGGGTCGGTGGGAGGAGGTGCCCGTAAGACTGCCGTGTGTACCAGCTGTAATCTGCTAGGGCTGTTGCTGGAAAGGATTCCCAGGGTAGGGTCACAGCAAGCCTGAGGGACTGTCTTATCTCAGTGTTTACTGACCTGATTAGAGGGCAGCAGCCTGTAAACTCTCTGGGAAAATAAACCAGCTGCTCTGCAGTCCATCACCATTTCACAAGACCATGCACATTCCAAAACAATCCCAAGTGGCCCAGGCTGGTAAACATGGGGGTTGCTTCATCCGAGCCTCTCTCAAGTGGCAAAGGGGAAGGGGTTAAGAGATGAACACGGGACTGCTCCGGGGCTGGTGTGGGGTGAGCTTGGAGCAGGCTGTCACTGATTTCCCTCCCCTCTGGTAAGGAGGGGGTGGGGGAGTGTTTGGGTGAATTCCAGGACTTGACCTAGCAAATTGCTAAGGTGTGTGCTCCTGACCTACACCAGAGCATTCAGGTAAGCAAGGAGCTGGCCGTGGAGAAGAGGAGCCTGAGATGGGACTGGGAAAGGATCAAGAGAGGAGGAAGCATGGAAGGAAGGTCTAATCCATACATCAGACGCACCCATGGCGATGTAACAGCGTTTGGTGTGCAGGTGCAGACCAGAGGCTGGGAAGAAGGGCAGGGGAAAACAAATGCATGAGGGCCTCCTTAAGGAGCAGCAGTTGCTGGAGGGGATCATGTTGTAGGCAGGTAGGGTATGCAGATTTCTAAGGGTGGGGGTGACTTGTTTCCACTCCCAGATGTGTATGAGATGGGCCTGTCTTGGGCTTGTTGATGAGCAATGGCACTTAGATTCTAAAGGAGGAGAAATACAGTAAGCAAGAGGAAGGCGATAGCTGCAGAACAGTGATGCCTAATAGCGAAGGCAATAGCGGGTAAACTTAAAGGACTGACGCACTAGCAAGTGCTCTGTCCCTTCTTGTGTGGCTTGGTCTCATAGCCTCCTACTGCTACCAGTGAATGGAGTTGCTGCTTTAGCTCCTGGCAAGAGGCCATGTCCTTGGGCTGAAGATTCTGGGCTCCATCCCTGGTGGAGGCGATTTGTTTGGAAGCCAAGTCAATGCCTCCTGACTGGGAGAATAAGGTTGAAATAAAGGGGAGAGCTGGACAGATGAGTAGAGCTGTGATCAGCGGGTTCCACCCCTGCCCCGGATTCTAGCCGGACAAGGGTTTGGCCTGTGTCATAACGCCATCTCTACTAAACCAGAGAGCCGCCTCTGTAGAAGATGATCTGTTACAGAAACTTTACTCTGACTCCGGTGCCTGTCTCCGTGGCGTAATGACTTTACTAGGAAAGCTGAACTAGCGCCGTGTTACCAACCAGCTCCCTGGGGGCAATAACCTGGAGTCTGTACTCTGTGAACAGTGAGACGTCCCTGAGAGGCTTGTAGCGGAGGAAATAGGCCTTGGAGGGGGAGATGTCCAGTGCAGTGCTTGCAGAGCCTGGCTGCGGGCACAGATTGTTCCGTGGCTGCCACCTTGTGGCTTGAGCTTAGCAGTGAAATCAGCACTATTTATATGTGTGTACAATGCTGGGTAGCTTAAGTGGGTTAAACAGATAAGTCCTTAGCCTGCAGAATGTACAGCTGAAGGACGTGGGTGAGTACAATGCGAAACAAACCCAGACGGCTGTCTGGTCATAACTGCAATATCTCACGTGGCAGGACTAGTTTTCTAAAGCCCTAGAAACTTTCCAGGGCTCAACTACAGTAGAGCCTCAGAGCTACGGTTAACCACACCCCTCATTTGGAACTGGAAGTATGCAATCAGGTAGCAGCAGAGACCAAAACAAAAAAAGCAAGCAAATGCAATACAGTACTGTGTTATATACTATTAAAAATAAAGGGAAAGTTTTTTTTTAAAAAGTGATAGTTTCATTTAAATTAAGATGGTTAATCTTTTTATTTTTTAATTTCATTTAAATTAAGATTTTTTTCTTCTGCATCGTAAAGTTTCAAGCTGCATTAACTCAATGGTCAGTTGTAAACGTTTGTTCAGAGTTACGAACAACCTCCGTTCCCAAGGTGCTGGCGACGCTGAGGTCCTACTGTACAATGATGATTGCTCTCCCTCTGCTTGGTGGTGGAACCCTACAAAGCAGGATCCCCTCCATCCCCTTTCGCTGAGTTCTAATGTGTCTGCCGGCTGGTCGGCTGTCAGCGGACCTCACGCCCAGCTGTTCAAGGAATTGGGGGTGTTCTCTAAATGGGCTGCTGCTCCTGCCCACGTTGAGAACTCCACCTTTTCACTGTGCTTCAGACACAAAATGGTGGACTTTCACTTGATGCACCTGTGGTGAAAAATACCCAAGTGCCAAAAAGTCTGTTGCTTGATTAAGAACCTATTTCCCCCGCCCCCCCCAACAGAAAAAATGACATGTCCAGTAGTGCTTCAGCTGAGAACTTAATGGAGAATTTCCTGACTCATGTTTTGTTTTTCACACCAATCTTCATTCTGCCCACTGGGCCATGTGGGTGTGAAGACATCTGTCTTGTCCCTTGTCTTTCCGACCCATTGGTGAAATTGTGTAGAGAACCCCTATCTTCCCCTCCCTCACACACCAACTATATGGGCCACCAGTAGCTAAATTCCATGTGATTTGAGTAAATATGTTATTGTCCAGTGGACCGCAGCTAATGAAATCACCTATTGTGGTGCAGGTGTGTTGGAGGGTGCAGTGTTAAAGATGGCGTTGGAACGTAACCGTGGAAAAATGTCTTGACTCTCAGCTGCCCGTTAGATTGTCCCCTGGTGGATGGTTGGTAAATTTGCAATGTCCTGGGCTGGGGGAAATCGGCTGCAGATGGTTTGATAAGTGGGAGGGCCAGAGCCCTTGTTAGGGGAGGAGTCTGTCATCCAACAGTAGTTGGAGCTTTCAGAGGACTCAGGAGGAAGGTGGGTGAGCATCTCTGCTTCATGCTTTTGGCCCAGATCTGCAGATTTAGCTAGTCTTCCAAAAGCATCGGTGCATACTTTTAAAATGCACATGTTACATTTAAGTGGGTGGGTGAACAAAGCTTATTAAGGTGAAGGAAACCCGACAGTCGGAGAGGAAGCCAAAGCAGGGTGTTGTTTCTAGCCAGAGCTTTACAAACCCTTAACTGACAGTGGCAGTGTCCTAGAATATCCGGGTTGGAAGGGACCTCAGGAGGTCATCTAGTCCAACCTCCTGCTCAGAGCAGGACCAATCCCCAACTAAATCATCCCAGCCAAGGCTTTGTCAAGCCTGACCTTAAAAACTTCTAAGGAAGGAAATTCCACCACCTCCCTAGGTAACACATTCCAGTGTTTCACCACCCTTCTAGTGAAAAAGTTTTTCCTAATATCCAACCTAAATGTCCCGAAAGCAAAAACAGACCAACAAAGGTGCAATTAGAGCTAGTTTACAACCCTGGGCAAAAATCCTTTCCTGCCTTAAAATGACTGGCCCTTTTCTGAGGAGCTACCTCTGGGGCATTGAGCAGGGCTGAGGGGGGCTAGGATAGAGAGAGGGCTATATACGAACATGACTGAGGTGGAGAAAGTGAATAAGTGTCATTTACCCCTTCATGTAACACATGAACCAGGGGTCACCCAGTGAAATCAATAGGTAGCAGTTTTAAACTAAAAGGAAGCATTTCTTCATCCAGCACACGGTCAACCTGTGGAACTCATTGCCAGGGATCTTGTGTATAAGGGGTGGGGGCAGAGACACTTGAATGTCCATGTTCATTAACATTTGATGGAAAAACAGGGCAAAAATTCCATGGACATACCATTCTTCACCCTATTCTGACTTG